AGAGAGAGAGAGAGAGAGAGAGAGAGAAAATATATATATGTATATATGTGTGTGTATATATATATATGTATATATGTGTACATGTATGTGTGTGTGTGTGTGTATGTATCAAATGTAATGTTTTGTAATAAAAATTGTCTTCAAAATAGGGACATTTCTGATTGTGGGGGATTTATTTTTTGTTTGTGTTTCGTTTTGCACTGAAATCAACCTGAAAATCTTACATAAGAATAATCTTCCCTCAATGCATTGCTAGCTCTCCTATTGGGCAGAGTGAAATGGTTGCTTCAGGAGCAGATTTGACCTGCACCAAAAATGCATCATCATCATCATCATCATCATCATCATCATCATCATCATCATTATTAATCTTAGAAAGTAGACTGGAAGGGACTTCATGAATCATCAATTGTTGTAAGCCGCCCAGAGACCTTTGGGTAGAGTGGGCGGCATATAAATTAAATAAATAAATAAATAAGTCCAGCCCTTGTCAAAGAGGCCCAGTGGGAAATTGAACGCCCAACCTCGGGCTCTGCAGCCAGATTCGTAAACCACTAAGCTGGTTTACGTCTTGCTTGTTGACTGGGAAGCAAGGTAGTCTGGAACATAATTTATACAAGCATATTATACATGGATTACCGCAATCCATTGAAATATTAGAATACAATTAAACAGGTCATCCTTTTAAAGGAAGTTAACTAATCTGACCCTGCAGCACAGGCTTCTGCGGTTTAGCCTGCAGTGCCACCACGTCCCTCTTGAAACATAATTTATGCAAGCATATACAAGGATTACCGCAATCTATTGCAGTATTAGAATACAATTAAAAGAGGTCATCCTTTTAAAGGAAGTTAACTAATTGTAAAAATACATCATGGAAAAGAAAACACAGCAAAAGCCGCACAAAAATACCATTCTTCAGCAAACTTGTTTAAATAAAGGCATCTCTGCCTGTTGAAAGAAGGACAAGAAGAATTAAGCCAGCCTAAGTTTCCTTAGAAGAAAGTTCCCGAAAATGCTGTCTGTTTCAGCCGGTTCAGCCTTGACTCCGAATAGGCCATACTGTGTATTTCTTCCAATAGCTTTCATGAGCTACATGGGATGAAAAGATGTGGCCGAACAATCTATTCCCCAACTAGTGCTGAATGAAAGATCTGTTGGAGTTTTTGCAGACTTGCAGGCTGCCTTTAGTAGCTTCGGCTGGGAGGGAACTTTCTGGACCGGAGTGACTATCAGGATATTCAGCACTAATCAATTGTTCCCTTCTGCTCCCTGCCTCTCCACATGAAAGGATTTCCCCTATCTAGAGTCTGTTGAAATCTGTTGCTGAAAAGCAGTCACATTAGTCAACTCGCTTAAGTAATGAAAAAGAAAATATTTCTACTACTACTATTTGAGACAGTAAGTGCCAGTTAATAAGAAAAGGTGTGGACTAATTTGGGGAACTTGAAGCTATTCTGTTCTGTGAATCCTCCTCTTCTGCTATGCAGCTAGAGGAATTTTACTAAAAATTCAAAACGGCAACAGGATCACCATCCAAGTACAGTGTAGAGAAACAAAAAGGCAGATTCCTCTCTGCACAGGCTCTTTGGGGCTCACAGAAAAACATTTTTACCATTTCGCTTAGTTATTTCTCTGGTCAACCACCATGGAAAAGATGACTCTTAATTGCAGCACCTCTTTCCCTGGCTCTTTTGAGAGTGGTTTTAAAAGGACTGTTTTGACTTACTATATTTCTAACTCACATTTCATCTGATGGCATTCAATGGAACAACCACAGTTCCTTCCCCCTTCATTTTATCTCTACAGCAACCCTTTGGGGTAAATGAGGCTGGAGGGGGGGGGGGATTTGACCATTGCTTTTCATGACTGATGGGAGCATCTGGTCTTCTGATCCCAAAGCCAACATTCTCTATAACCACTACACCACACTATCCTGCAAAGTGTCCGCCTATAGCGGAGGTTCAGGTAGCTCATCCAGGTTAGTTTACCAATAAAGATTGGTAGCACCGAAGCATGTAGCCTAACTAAGGCACCTGACTTTGGGGTAAAGAATCTTTGGCCCTCCAAAGTCGTTGACTACAACTCCCATCTTCCCTCACTACTGGCTTTGTTCCAAGCTCCGCAACGTATAGAGAGCTACAGATTTCCCAAACCCTGTCTTTTGCAGATATGAAAAGCTACATTTATTGGCGTTTCTCAGCCATGGGAACATTTAATCTTAAATGAATAAAGTATCGTTTCTCTGGTTATGTTTTTTTCCTTTTTTTGGCCTTCTCTCCTGGAAGAGAGAAAAAGCACAAAAGAATTTCTTCCCCATTTAAAGTGAGGGGCTCTTAAAAGGGTTAAGTTGACAGAGTCTCCATCTCCTAGAGAGACCAAATGGGAAGTGGGAGGGAGTCGTAGAACGCCGTCCCGGGCTTCGGCCCCGCCCCCTCCCGTGGGAATGTGCACCTTGGATTGCTCGCAGGTGCGAAGGATGAGCGACTGCCGTGGGGTCGGTGAGTTCTTGCAAGCAGGGGCTCCCGCGGAGAGCTTGGCAACACTCTGTTCCTTTTGGACCACAACTCCCATCATCCCCCAACCTGGCAGCGACACACTTCTGCAAGGCAGGTGCTCCATTAGCAGGGTCTCCAACGCCACATACTTTCCAGGAAAGTCCCGGAATGAGTGGAGCGGTGGGGAAGACGGTTGGGTACCTTGGGCCTCCAGATGTTCTTGGACTTCAACTCCCAGAAATCCTGGCCAGTAGAGGTGGTGGTGAAGGTTTCTGGGAGTTGTAGTCCAAAAAACATCTGGAGGCCCAAGGTTGGGGACCACTGGGTCAGAACTTAAGGAGATCGGAGTTCGAAACTGGACTGAGAAGCTCACTTGGGTGCCCTTCTCTCTCAGCCCTGACCTACCTTGCAAGATCATTGTGAAGCTGAACGGGAAGAGGAGGAGAGTGGTCTTAACCGACCAGATAGGCGGGATATAAACAAACAAACAACAAACAAACATGTAACTAATCCATAATTTTCTAAGGTTATACAGGATTTGAAGGCCATGGAGTGTGCCAAAGACTGCTAGAGGTGTACAATTTTTGGCCTGAAACTCCCAGAACTCCTCAGAAATCTCTGAAATACAGGGGTATCTCGGTTTACGAAATTAATGTGTCTGACCTACGGGATGTTACATACAGCAAAAAAATTGCCATAATAATTGTCATAGGAATGGGGGCGGTGCTATAACCTCTGGGCATAATGCATCCTGGGGAAACTTCCTTGTACTGTGGGGGGAAAAACAAAAACACGGAAACCCAGGCAGAATTTTCAACGGATTTTCCTTTGCAAACCGAAAATTACATTAACCAAGATCTTCGTAAACTGAGGTACAACTGTAACAATAATTGTGGCTTGATGGCTTGTAATAGCCCATACAAGCATAGGTCAAATAAACAACAATAATAATGTACCGTCAAGTTAATTCTGATTTATGGTGATGTTTTCCTTACAAGCATAGGTCAAATAAACTACAATAATAATGTGCCGTCAAGTTAATTCTGATTTATGGTGATGTTTTCCAGGGTGTTACAGATAAAGAGAATATAAAGGTTTCCCTTTTTCTTCTCGGGACATCCTGGGACTGTGCAGCTTGCCCAAGGCCACCCAGGCTGGCTGTACTCATAAGAGGCACAATGGGGAATCAAACTCCCGACCTCTGGCTCCACAGCCAGATACCTAAACTGAATGCCCGGGGAATTCTGGGAGGTGTAATCCAAAAACAGACACCTGGATACCTCTACTAAAAATGTATCAAGCTTTACTGCAGTTGAACCACTACGCCATGGGGCTCCTTAAAAGGACACATAATGGAAACTGAGTCAGTTTGATTTGTTTCAACCCTCCAGGAGAACAGCAGGAAATGAGTTTTTCCCCCTATAGTGTCAATACTGCAGGAAAAATACCCTCACATTCCAAGGTATTCTCTTCCCGAGGCTAAACATTTGAAAAATACCCTCACATTTCAAGGTGTTCTCTTCCCGAGGCTAAACATTCCCAGATCCTTCAATGCTTCCTAGATTGGTTCGTTCTCTTTTTTAGAAGCTGTTCTTTCCTCCCTTCCTGTCTCAAATCATTATTCTCTCTATTCCAGCAGAGAAAAACAAGGATGAGGGAAAAACACCCCAAATTCAACCGGACATCATTCTGGCTAAGAAAGTGCAGGTTAAGTTTGGGAGTGCCGAGGGACTGCAAAAGCAGATTGGGAACTTCAACAACAACTGCAGGAAAGAAACTATTCGTTTTGAAGGCAGAGACTTCCCACAAGTCCAGCCAACGGGAAGGGCTGGAGAAAACCGGAACGCATGCGATGTGTGTGGGAAGCACTTCAAAGATGAGTCCAACCTTAAAAGACATCACAGAAGCCACACAGGAGAAAAACCTTACCTGTGCGTGTACTGTGGGAAAACCTTCAGCCGGAACGCAAATCTCGCTTCGCATCACAGGACCCACACAGGGGAGAAACCGTATGCCTGCACGCGTTGCAGCAAGACTTTCTGTGATAAATCGAGCCTGAATCGACACCAGAGGACCCACACCGGGGAAAGGCCGTACGAGTGTGAGGCCTGCGGCAGATGCTTTGACCTGAGCCAGTCCCTGATTAGTCATCAGAGGATACATACAGGGGAGAGACCGTATCAGTGCTCAGAATGTGGCAAAACTTTCAACCGAAGCCAAAACCTGCGTAGTCACCAAATAATTCACACGGGAGAAAAACTGCATAAGTGCTCGGAGTGCGGGAAGAGCTTTAGTCGCAGCCAGAATCTGACCAGGCACTTGAGTAGCCACACGGACAGCAAACTGTACACGTGCTATGAGTGTGGGAAAAGTTTTCGCCTGAGCCAGTATCTTATTAGCCATCAAAGGGTCCACACGGGAGAGAAACCGTATACATGTTCCCAGTGTGGGAAAAGTTTCAACCTCAGCCAAAATCTGATCAGCCACCAACGAATACACACGGGGGAGAAACGATACCAGTGTTCCAAATGTGGGAAAAGCTTCAGCTGGAGTCAGGATCTGCTCCGCCACCAGAGGATCCACACAGGGGAGCAACCGTATCATTGCTCGGAATGCGG